TATGCAATTGTCTTGTGGGCTAATTTCTATGTAAAGTTGATGACGTCTTCAACAAAAGCTGCCATGAATAGCTTTGATGAATGTAACATATTTGAGAAAGCTTCTCAGATATCTGTTATTGTATGTGATAATAAGCTTAATAATAGCAATGATGAAGCTTTTTAATAAATACAGTCCATAACTGTAGATCTCGATACAACAAATTTGTTTATTTTAATCGTCTTCGTACACATGGTATTTGTGTTTGTAATCGTGAGCCCTGCAGAATACCAAAAAAAAGAATTAAACGTAATTTGAAGAAATCTAGGAAAGTAAGACATTTATTTCGAACCTGCATTAGAAAAAGCATATTGAAGTCTTCCCAAATGCATCTTTTTACATATAAAGCTTGTGAAAAAATATATGCACATGGAATCAGATGTGAGAATAAAGGGAAAATGAAATATCCCTCTTCTGCAGTCAGGAGAAAATATCGAAAGTCTAACAAATACAGGATACTGAAAATGCAAAACCAATATCCACATGTAATAAACAGTCCAAAGCCAAAGCAGTCGAATGCATGGAGGTCTAATTAAGTACCAAATACATAATTATAAAAATCTGAATCACAGGGTAAATTATTTTAAGTCTAATCTTTCTGGGAATATAGAAACAAACCCTGGTCCTGTTATTAATTCTCCTAAAACAATTCAAGCTCCTTACAGTCAAGACAATGTGGCAATTTTTGGGTTAAATGCTGGTACACAGTGTGTAGCCATGTCACTTGCTTTCCCTCATATATAACAAGAGGAATAGTATTGTATCCTCAATGGACTTGGTTAATATCATGAACATTGGTAATTAATTGTATTCTGGTCTATCTAGTCTATCCAAGCAATCCTATTTACTGTTAACAGAAGTACCTAAAATGATAATAGTGTTCAATATTAACTATCAGCTTCAATATAGTCCAAGCTATACTGGTACTATACATGGTACTTGTGAAGTACAAGATTTCAATTATTGTATGTAATTTGCTAGTGCTATGCAAGCTTTGCTTAAACAAAATTATAATTCCTTTTTTTAAAAATCCTTGGTACTACAGTAGGTTTTTACTGTAATGGTGATGGTAAGTTGAAGGTATTTGATTCTCATGGTAGAGATTCATATGGTATGCCCCATCCTCAAGGAACTTGTGTAGTGTTAGAAGTTAACACCTTAAATAAGCTGATAAACTATTTTGAAGGTCTTTATCAAAATCCAAATGTTTCATTTGAACTCTAAGGTGTACATATTAATGAAAAACAATGTGATATGACAGATATTTCTGATCAACAGTTGTCAGCTGTCCCCCTTGAAGCAAATCATGCAGATGCTGAAATTACAACCATTCATATTCCCTTGTTATGCTGTTGTGCCACATCTTTTTATAGCATTTGTTCTTCCATTATCAAATATTGTGGGTATTGGAATTCACAGACTCTAGATAGAATCACTGACCATGCAATCAAGTTTTACAACAAAAAACTCAATGGCGATAACAATGCACTCACTATCAACAACTTCCCAAGGATAATTCAAATATATGATGCAGATATTAATATTGCCTTTAATTGGAGAAATAAGGAGTACTATGTTGCACATCTCGTGGTAGCAAATTATTGCTTCAGAAGTTAATCACAGATAATACTAAGGACACTACTGGGTTTTCAATGTGGATTTCAAATTATTGCTTCAGCTGTATTTTTCAGCACAATAATATGAAAACAAAAGCAAAAAGGGTTAAGTACTATATTATAAGATTCAGTCCTAATGGCACAACTTTTCAAAGTAAGATTAGGGAAGGTCCATATTATATTTGCTCTGTTTGTAACAGAATACTATACAGAAAAACCATTATCCAGTTAAAAAAACAAATGTACAACACTCAGCAAGAACTATTTACTGAGTTGTATACCCATGATTCCTTTCTGTCTTGGAATGACCTATCACCTATCACCTGATGACAACCTTTTTTGAAATAGATGTATGCCCTTGGCCAGACTTGAGCTCGCTATTTCAGTATACTAGTCTAACACACCCATAGTATCACTATAACTGATCCCAAGGATCCAGTACCATCCAGGTATCCCAGTTACCCTGCTCACAGGGTCTAGTTATGTCCAATTCTGAAAGTTAATTTTCCTGTTCAGAAAGTTAATTGGGCATTGCAGATCAGAGAATTTTTCCTCCCACTAAACAAAATTATAAGGTTAAATTTCCAAACCTTAGCCATTTTCTTTTCAATATAGATAATGTCCTCCACTGACTTCAATTTTTTTCTTTTGCCTTTATATTTTTTTGTGAAATAACTTCCTGCTTAGCAACATGTACCTTAACTGCCTTTGTAAAGTAAAGAGAATTAAGTGCTAAATTGAGATAATTCTGACAACAGCTGATGATCAAGTTCATTCTTAGCACCTCTCTTTTTTATGACACATTGATATTGTAAGAAGAAGTTGCAGTTTAACCCTTTACCTGCCATGAGTGACCGATTCAGAATTTCTCCTATCAATTTCAATTTCAGTATCAAGAAACAAAGTGATAAGAATAAAGACAAATATCGTTTAGGGTATTATTAATAGACTCAATACCAAATTCTCATTACTCACATTAAAGGAACTGTATAGTACTCACTAAGAAGAATCATTAGTGAGATGCTGGGAGTGAAAGGGTTAATCACCTTTGGGAGTAAAACTGCTAAATATCCTGAAAACAGACAACTCTCTGAGCTAGCAACCTAGAGACATTTTGTGATACAGGGAGAGCTAATTAAAAACTATTTGGGAGAGAGATATTAGCCTACATTGTATACAGAACTTTTGAAAGAGATGGCAGACAGCCAAAACAGCCGGCTAGTCTGCCATCTTAACCTCAATCTACAAAAAATGTTTATGAAATTAGCTGAATGATTGAAATACCATCTGAGAAATTTGTGCAGCACCTATTTCTCAGTTTTGAGTTCAATTGAAAGCCTAATTGACCAGTATCAGGTTGAGATGTGTGAATCAATTACACATTGCGAATTTACTCTGAGAATCTTGGAACATCTACACATTTTAACTGAATAATTGTTTACAGTCTTTTGTGTAAAGTGACAAAACAACATGGCTGCTTCCATTTTGCCTTCAACTCTCTAATTCATTGACAGCCCCGAGTATAGCAGGGTTGTTAACAAGAAACACAGTAGCAGGAGAACACTGTCAAGTAACAGAAAAAGATTCTCACATCTAAGTAAAATACACCTTAGACTATCCAAATATAGCATGAGAATTCTCACTACTTCCTTTCCCTTGTGTACTTCCTGACATAGGGTTTACAACATGCAGTTGATTTAAAGCTAAAGTTGATGTAAAAATGTTTAAGGCACCTTTTATTTCTCATTTAAACCAACAATTCCATGTGTCCCCCTTCAGAGGATTACTTGCTATACCTTTCATTGGAAAGCTGTATCGATGATTGTGAAAGAAATATAACTTATCTTCATGGCTACTTAAGGAAATGGTGGGGTGCTAATAATGCCACAGTTAAAAAGATATCTCAATAAAAAAAGTGGAGAAATGTAAATTTACATATATTCTTCCTTTCAAGGCATACTATATCCGAACAAAGCCACGTGAGGTATATCTCACCGATAATATTTATGGTAAGGGATAAGAAGAAGGGAATAATGCAATCCCTCAGTTAAAACTGAAGGAAAATAACGTCAAGAAAAGCTATCTTAAAGTTTTACTTTTAAAAGCGTTATAAACAATATTCAAAGGAGTGCAATGATACTAATAAGGTTTTGTTCGTGGGTTTTAGAAGTTGTTATCCTAAATCTAATACATATTTATTCAATTGAAACATTCTTGGTCAAATTTCTGTCAAAAATATTTCGATGGACTAAAACTTACTACAGTTTTCTGTGTTAAATTAACCTATATATTAACCTCATACTGTGAGCTTAATTTAAAAGTAAGATTCATCGAAAAAAACAGAAAAAAGCCTGCACGATTTCACTCGTCAGTGACAGTCAGCCGGCAAACTTCTGAGTTTGTACGACATAAATTTTATTCCATGAATCGACTATTAAAGAAAAATAACCAAGAGTACGATGAATCAGTTTAGAAATTCTGAAGAACTGCTCTATGACTAAAATAAATGAGGACATAGCTTATGAAATTTATGCATTTTCATGCATGCTTAGCGACAACATGCAGAATATATTCAACGCACACAACAAAAGCGATTAAACAAACTAAAAAATTCGATGTAGAGGGAGACTCCGTGCAATTTCGTACCTTTCTGGTTATTCAGGCTGTTCAGACGTCGACTGAAGAGAACTGAGAACATCAGTTAAAAGTGGTAAACCCTGCGCTTTTTATCACAATGCCTCTAATAAACCTGATCTAAGACTGTTGTCCAGATCATAAACGGCCTTGTTCGAGCGGGAAATGTTAAGAATAAAACCTGGTAACTAGTTGCATTCCTTGCACGCGGTTTTACGCGCGCAGAAAAGGCTGTCACGGAAATGACAGAGTGTAGTAAACCAGATGTGACAATGAAATCATGAAAAGCGAATGATCCAAACCCAAGTTTTATCCGAGGCCTAAAACTGAAAAGAAAATAAAGAGAAGTATTTTAACTACAGTGTGCAATTTTTGGGCAAAAAGGAAAGGAAATAACCGTGAGCAGTGACCAGGAAAAAATAGTCATTATTATTACTTAGGTTTCGGTTTTACAACACTCAATCCAAAAGCGCTCTCTATGCACCTGATAATTGATTATCAAGGTGGTGTAAATACAGAGTGCAAGAAAGAAAACCCTGGACCACTTTCCACGATACATTTAAAAAATGTACCTATTTGCTAGAAATGGTTGTCTTAACTGTACCTCATGGCTTTTTTGATGACTAAATGACATTCATGTGACCCCTGATAAACTAAGCAGGTATCGCTATTTTAATTATATCCACAAACATGTTATGAAAACCGATATGATCATGTTATCATCACTTAGCAGCTTTATTGTTTCACTAACAAATATTTTACAAGATAAATTCCCTTAGGGAAATATCAAATACAATATCTTACACTGAAAGTTTTCATATGTAATACTACCATTAAGTTACTGCACTAGAACCCTCTTATCTATTTAAGTTCTCAATGACATGTCTACAAATCATACTAGCTCCCACAACATGGTGAAGAAGAATTTATTTCATTTAGTTACATTCTAATAAATATTTTTGTTCATCCCTCTTCATAATTTTGAAAAGAATACATCTCTTTTCTTTTGAAGGAGATTTTTTATTTGACTGTGATTTATGACAATACAGTTATACAACAGAAATATCAATAATCATTTATAATTTTAGTCAACAACAACATTTCAGAAACAAAACAACCTACAAAGATGAAATTAAGTGAAAAATTATATATTTTTAAAGTTTTTCTAAGATTGGAGATTACAAATGTTTTCAGAAGTTGAAAATAACAATTATTTTTGTATTGATTCACTGTTTTATTTCATGGCTCCTTCTCTGGCAAGCTCATCTGCAGCTTCATTTCCTATGTTCCCCTGATGTCCTCGAACATGAGTCTATGAGAACCACAAACAAAAAAGAAAGCAAAATGAAAGTCTTCTAAGATGATTAATAAGCTGTTATTGGATGAAGCTGCAAATTTTTGTCAGTGGAGAGCACATCAAATGTTTGAATGATGTGCTTGCCATTGACAGATAATGTTTTACAATAACAGAGTTTAATATATTGTTTTATTGTAACATTTTTGCCTTTGTTTTTTGAACTTATTTTCATGAGCCTCTCTCTGATATTCCAAATAAGTTGGCAATCTCCAATTTTCCACAGGAGAGCATCAATACAATAGCCATACATAGGCTGAATATTATTTGCAACAAAACACAGTTCAAAAGAAAAGCACATATTGTACATGAGCAGACCACTATTTTTACACTCATTTTCAGGTTGAAAGGTGGGCTCTTGGCAAACAAGATGGATGGAAAGAAACATGATTCTAATTTAATTTAGTACAACCTACAAGTATAATGGTAATCTTGGTATAATAGATTATGTTACCAATAGTATATTTTTTTCAGATCTATAAAACATACCCATTTTACATCAATTTCATCACACAGTTTGGTAAGTTTCTGAAATTCCACCTTATTCTTCACTTCAGTTCCATTGACTGTTTTCCAGCCATTTTTCTTCCATCTTTTACACCAGTCTGTGGCTCCTACAAATAAAGAAATAAATACTGGTAAATTAATAGCGGTAAATGTAAATGAAAGAAAAAGAAATCAAAACAATGACTTTTAACCCTTAACCTCATAGCATTAGTACAATGTATACAATTCACCATACTGTTCTCTATATATTTGGCATGACACAAGCAAGGAGGATCTGTTTAACAGTCACAAGCCTCTTAATTTGCTGATCACCTCCTTTATTCTCATGACCCTAATGTTTGATCCAGGGTGCTATAGTGTGAGGAGAAATTAGATGCTAGTCTCTGTAAGATTTAAAAGGGTTTATAGAAAATTAGTACCTATAGTTTAATTTTAACAAGTGGTAAAACCATCTAATAAATTAGAAATCAGCTAGATCTATTTAATGACTGTTCTAAGGTCCATTGCATAACATGATGCATTAAAATTTCCAGTAAAAATCAAACCTTAGGCATAAAGATCAAAGATTCTGCAGAGAAACTTCTTCTCACAATGTACTATAATTATTAAGACACTGGCCACATTGTCCAACTGAGATGTGGCAAAAATAAGGAAACTAGATTGCCGGTATTTGGACTAGACGTAGGTTTTATCCTGATAAATCATCAATTTGTCTCACCTTTGATAGTATAATTGCTGTCTGTCCTGATCTCTAGTGTTTTGTATCCCATTTCTTTCGCTGTTTCAAGAGCTTTGACAGCAGCCTGATGGAAATAAAATTTAAGAATTGATACTTAGTACTTTTGGAATCCTCAAGACACCATCCTAACAAAAAGTGAAAACAGTGATATGCATGAGATCTTTTCTTTGCAACGTTAAGTACTGATAGTAAAGCAAAAAACTAGCTGCTATTATATCTTTAAAACAAAATACATACAAATGTAGCAAACTTTCTTAGTAACATGAAAGCCTTTTATAGCATTAACACTGTTTGATTACTGGAAAAACACTCCAAAAAAGAGCCAGTGAAATAAAAAATAAATTCCATCAAAAATTTTTGGTCACCATTGCTTGTTTTGATCCTAAGCACTGATTAGTAGAACTGAATTTACTTGAAGTTTTTTAATTTGTTGCCCATAAATTAATTGGTTAGTTTTGTTTAAATGGCACACACAATAAATGTAGATAGAATAAGAGAGATAGTAAGTCAGTAAAGAGATAGAGAGTCTCTGTGGGTCAGTGGTAGAGCATTGGAGCGTGGAATCTAAAGGTCAGAGGTTCAATTCCTCATGGGGACTCAGAATTTTTTTCTTTGTCCCACACTTGTGACAAGATAAAAGAAGCATCTTTCTCTATCAATAAGCATATTTTCCATACTGTTCTCCATACATTTCTAAGGTGCAATTCTTTAGTGGGTGATCATTTCCTATATTCTCATGACCTTAATGTTTGATTCAGAGCTGATATTGTAAGGAGAAATTAGATGCTGGTCATTTTTAGGGGTCAAAGGGTTAAGGTGAAAAAATAGAACAGAGTCAGTGAATGTCAAAGTTCTCACCATTATTTCTGCCCTTTGGTTGGTTTGTTCCCCTTCTAGTCGCTCACTTACATTTCTTTAAAGAAAACATAAAAAGAACAGCAGTTACTAAAAGTTTTTAAATTGACAATATTTAAGCCGTAAGCAAAGTGAAACTCAAATGAGAGACTGCTTGAATTTAGTACATAAGAAATTGTGTGTAAAAACTATTTACATCCTCAGGATATCCAGTCCTTTAGTAGATACCTATGTCTTTCTTTTCAAAGAATTAATTTTAATTGATTTCTGTCACAACTACTAGAAATAAAAACACAAAAAATCTTATGGTTTATTACCAGCATGATAAAAGTACCTGGTATTTTTTGGACCCCAGTAAACACCAATGCCCGCTCTAGCACCCTTCTTTCCATTCTTTGTGCAGCCCCCATCAGTATATACCACAGGTCGATCTCCCGAAGAGGAGTCATCATTACTTGAGGATGATATTGAAGAACCAGTCCAGCTTGAGCCAATCCCAGAGTTTCTATAAGGTTTAGAGAACTTACTGCCTTTTGAGTTAAAGGACCTTGCATTGTCAAATTGGTTGTTGCCACACATCTCATGGAAAGTTCTCTTTCTGCTTTCCTGCTGACCACAAGCCAAATATTTTACAGTGAGTACCTAAAATACATGATCTAAGGTGTGCTTTGGCATACTGTGAGAGTAAAGTGTTGCGCAGGAGCAGAACACAAATCCACCAAATCTGTCAGGTTAAGGTCCACCTGGCTGGTCACTAGGCTTATGTATCTCCCACATTATCCTAACAATGAGTACAATTCAACCATATAATTATGCCACATTTGATCTCCTTTCAATCCTTTCACTCCCATGAATGACCAATACTGAATTTCTCTTAAGAATATTAAAACATTATGAAGCAGACAAGTGATCAAAAAAAAGAATAACATCAATTAGGAAATTATTACTTGTTCTAATATCAAATTCTCTGAAATATCATCATGAGAATTGTACAGCAGACAGTAAGGAGAATTTAAAAAATGGGAACTTTGGAGTGAAAGGGTTAAGGTCCACCCAGCTAGTCACCAGGCTTAATTGGGTCTCTCACCTAATCCTCACATTCAACAGAATGCAATTAAAGTACACCACATATGATCTCCTTGTAAACCAACCATCAATAAGTTTATCAACACTTACAGATGGAGCTGCTACAGCTGAGGTCAAAGACCCACTAGATTTAAGTCCTGAGACAAAACTCTTAGCCTCATCCTCTGTGGAGAACTTCTTATATCTTGCACCAGGAAAGCCTTTAACATAACTCTCACATTCCTTCCTGAAATAATGCAAATGTTGGTCAGAATCCAGCTAGAAAATATTCTTATTTTGCTAAAACTCAATAGAATTGTATCCTTAGTCAGTCTATAGCGGACAATCCAACTACCTTGTTCAGGCTGGAGACCTTCAGTTATGGAAAATAATTTCCACTCTACCATTTGCTTAATGTTCTCACTTTTCCTTTTGTAACTCTCATCTGATGTAAGTAAGGTGTGATGAGCAAGTTTTTTTCTCACTGTTTTGACTAAGACGTCACAGGTTTACAAGCTGACAAGCTTGTCAATAAGTGAGTAATATAATATGATTGGCAATACCTCTATTGGGGGCAACATGACAACACCGGGGGGGGGGGGGATGAAGTGAGTCAGGTGGAAGGGACGTGATCACAACCTGTCACCCGCTACCGCAGGTCATTGGACAAAGGTACACGCGAGGGTGGGGTTAACATTACCCATTTTCTCCGATCCAAATTAAGCTCAAATGGTTTAACGCTTTCACAACTCTGTTTTTATAAAAATTACGCAAGACAATTCAACCAAGAAAGCTCAGATGTCGTAACAAATGGGATGATAGCAAACTCTCGATCCATAAATCAAGCCTTGTAAGAAGTTTGCACCTTCCAGCACCTTGATGCTACTCTGGTTTGCAGATTTCTAGTGCCTGATGAAGGCACTAG